TCAACTGCAAGTACGTAAATGGAAATGTACGCGTGCGCGTCTGATACGAAGAGGTGGTAGCCAGGGAAAGTGAATGAAAGAGATTTAAGCAAGATTAGTATTAGATTTGTTCTCCATAAGCATGTGGCTCACGTATTAGCCAAAATTAGGCGACATGCTTGGGGGTTCAGAACGACACAGACTAGTTTTTGGAGCGTTTCTTTCAGAACATAGCTAGAAGAAGAGTGCTATACAAACCTACTCACCAAGTTTCATTGCAATCAACCATCCCTACCAAAATGGTTAAGCCTTTGAGGAATTTGGCAACCCAAATTGCAACTCACCAGTCACCGGAGACGTTGAAGCTGGAGCAAGCTTCATGATGATGTTTTATATGTTAATAATATTAAAACTCTTCATTTTTTCATTTAATCATTAACAACAAGAATTCAACCAGACAATCCTCTCTTCTATTCCTGCATCAACGAGCTTTAAGTTATGATGAAGATTAGCTATAGCTTCAGCTACGCAGAGAATAACCAGAACCTGGTCCTGAAATAGAAGTGGTGGAGTATGGAACACATAGAAGCGGTTACCTTTTATCTCTGCATGGAGGACAAATTCGTTCAAAAGAGACGAGATGCACTGATTGGATTCGCACCATCTCTCGGAGCAATAGGGGCCTGTAATAATCATAATTAGTTACAGGGCAATCAATGAAAAACATGCAGAATCTAAACAGGAAGGGAATTATAAACTTTTCGGTGAAAGAACAGCCGAACTTCGTCTTGGGTGAATTGTACCTGTAAACACAGAAACATAGGTATGAAACAAAATTGACATAAATGGTTGACCAGGAGCAAGCCACGCAATGTCCGTTCTCCACGATGTCTACAATTTCTTGAATAGGGAAGTAAAGAAATCTGCTACGATCACTTTCAAGGCCCTTAAAGCAACAACAAAACATGAAAGAATTGTAACGTACGTAAACGAACCGTAGACTCAAACCAGTGAAACTGATCCGCATCCAAACTGCCAAAACACGCCGACATCAGAATTGATTTTCCATCTCCAAATCCTCCGACACCGAATTCTTGCTCTGAAACATAGAATGCTTTGTGATGGCGTCGAAATCAAACCTCTTCTAGCGCCGAAATCGCCATCTGGAATCAGAATTTTGAAAATATATTCATTTAAAATTTTCGCACCTCTTTTCTCTCCTAATCCTCCCGATCCGAAACCATCTTCTGAAACTCATTTTCTTAAAGAATTCTCTCCAAGGAACGAACCTTTCTTCTCTCCAAAACAGTCTTCTAAACCAGGAACTTCACGATAAAGTTTCACGATTCTCAAAAATTTCTTCTCTCGGGAGCCAACGGATTGAAGATAACTCATCGAGATAACTAGAACCAAACGTTCGTCCTTTTCGGCAGTGACGGATTCAAACCCACCTTCTGCAACTCATTTTTTAAAAGAATTCTCTCCAAGAAACGAACCTTTCTTCTCTCCTAAGCCGCAGGATTCGAATCCACCCTCTGTAACTCTGAATTACCAGTGCAGATAACCAGAACCAAACCTTCGTCCTCTTCAGAGGTGACGGATCCGAAACCAACTTCTGAAACTCTGAATTACCAGTGCAGATAACCAGAACCAAACCATTGTCCTCTTCGGAGCTGACGGATCCAAATGCATTCTCTGAAACTACGAAGTACCAGTGAAGATAACTAGAACCAAACCTTCGTCGTCTTCGGAGCTGACGGATCCAAATACCTTCTCTGAAACTACGAAGTAGCAGTAAAGGTAAAAAAAGCAAACCTTCCTTCTCTCCGAAGACACTTGATCTGGGAGCACGTTTTGCAACCAATTTTTCTGAGGAACTCT